ACTTAAGTATGACGTGTAAAAAATACATGAAATTTGGTTTTCTGAAACTTAGTATGTAACGTAAAATTGTAATTTATGTAACACATCCCTAATCGCAATCCCTAAAATTTTTTTTGATACCTCTAACAGATTACCGGTTGCCGGGATTTTTGTCAAAGACGTTAAATAAGCATCTAACATTATCACATGATAAATTAAATTAGATTATCTGTATTTTCGAAAAAATGGTACCCGCAGTTTTAAAACCGAAAACTAAAAAGGCTGTTAGCAAACCGAGCCGCAAAGGAAAAAAAGCCTGGAGAAAAAATGTCGACATATCTGAAGTTGAAGAAGCTTTAGAAAAGATAAGAGATGAGGAAAGAACCTTTGGGTATGTTTAAATATTGTGAAAATGAAAAGGATTAGTCTATTATAATCCAAAGTCGTATGAGATATTAAAGATTTAATTCAAGGTCATTTTATGGCTTTACTTAAAATAGTGGTAAGCTTAGTGACATATCGACCGAAAAACTTTTTTCAATAGATGTAAAGGGAGATTCTGAAGGTTGGTAACTCTACAATGCACTTTAACTATTTTCTTTAAGTATTAATTGACTTCTATTACTCTCTTTGTGAAAATTAAAGTTAAAAAAAAAGTCGACAAGAAATCCGCCAAATTACACATTGATCTGATTTTAGAAAACCGCAGTAAGATCCCTGAAGTGTTCTCAAAACCAAGACCAAATCACGGCAAAAATCATACTTCCAAATACTCTAAAATGATGCTAGAAAAACTTGCAAAAAAAAAAAACCAAGTAGGCAATAGCGCAAATAATAATGAATCTAGTGAGATAGTTATGAAAACAAGAGAGTATGATGTATGGGCACAAGGTTCAAAGAAATTATGTTTTTATGAATTTTTGAAGTTGGTTCTCGATTATGGTTATTTATTTTAGTACTACTATTAGCAGATGATCAATTAGAAGATTTTTCGCATTCAATAATGAAACAAAAAATTAAGGTAGGCTATTGGAATTTTTTCTGAATAAAAAATGTTTTAAGTTTTATATTTTTATTTATCGATCTATAATCATATATTCTATTCATTTGCTATCCACTGAAAAAGCCACCTCCAACCTTGAATATGAAACCTGCGGTTAATACTCCCGCAGTTCATCTACCGCATGGTGGATCAAGCTATATGCCATCATTTAAGGATCATCAGGTTTTTTTTTTTTTGATATTAATGACGCCAAATTTATAATTGAGGATGTTAATTATTATATAATTGATAGGAGCTCCTTATGATTGCGCATGAGGAAGAAGTCATCAAATTAAAAAAAATGGAACATATTAATTCTAAACTTCCATGTCCCGTCGTTGTTCCCTCTGCACTGAATATAGAGAATATGATTGACGAAAATGATGAAAAATCATCAGAGGAAAATGAAATCGAAATCGAGGAAACTGAAGAGAAAACTATTTCCCAAACAAAAGAGCAACGCAGAAAGACAAAGGCTGAACGAAACAAGGAAAAAAGAAAAAGGGTAAAAATAAAGGAGGAGGAACAAAGAAAAACGCAAAAAGATTTGGCGAAAAAGTTGGAAAAGTAGTATCTTTTTTCAAGCATACTTAGAAATGATAAAGTCCTATAATAACTATATTATTCAAATTTAAACTAACAGACTCCCCGAAATTCTCGAAACTGTCGAGAACGAATGTGCTGATCATGAAAAGAAGATGGTTGAACAGACGAAATTTGCTGAAGAAATGATAAAAATGCCAAAGAAAAAAATTGGCAAATATCGGTGAAATATCTTTTATTTTTCATTATTGCTGAAGACTATTTATTGAATGATCATCATTAAGTCATATTCATTAGAGTCCGAAAAGCACCGATTGATGTAAAGCTCACGGAGGATTTAGAAGGGACTCTAAGGCTTTTAAAGGTAC